TAGAGTGAAAGTTCAAATTTATCATAGAAGGAGCAGTAGTAAAATATTGTTTCGCTCGTTGTCACCTAATTCGATCTTAATAGAGTTTTCGAGATATTTTCTTACAGGTTTTTTGGTTAAACAATTGAATTTGTATGCGGTTTAAATGATACTTAGTTTAATTCAACACGAATAATTAATAATAGCAGATAAATGAATTAAAGATAAAATAAACGATCAAACCAATCGTGATGTTACGAACACGCCTGATCTTAGATTGAACGGTGATCTCGTCCTCGATTGGACCCTCGTTTTCAACCCAATTGTGAATGAAGAATAGAACAAGTAAACAAAGTTCTCAACAATAGTTAGAAGGTAAAAATAATTTTTATTGCCTTGAATTCCGTGTTACAATGTGTGAGACTATAGAAAAACTTCTCCTTTATATAGTAGGAGAGTTTTAGTCATAGTAAAAGTTTAAAAAAGGTAAAAATCTTCTTTTCCGATAATTATTGATCCATAATCGACATCGAGCGAGATTCACGCCGTGATATTCGGTTGGGGGCGGGTATCACGACCCTCTATCCACCATGCATAACCTTTTAGCGTGTCTTCCGAGATCTAGAACGTACACTCGGCCCGGGCGCGTCGCTTTTCCATGCCCTATGTCGGATATACCGTTCACCTTTCTTGGGTCTTGATACGAAGGGTCTTTGACCTCGACTGCAAAAATCGGGCTCGTGCTCCCCCTTCGTCCTCTCATCTGGGAATCGGGGTAGACATTGCCCTCGATTTCACCCGTATATATGTTCCTCTTTAACATAAGAGATACTTTTAGTGTACTGGCAAAGCTAGTTCAAATGCTGAAATTCTTGCATTTTTAATCCCTTTATATAAGATTTTTTAGCTTCATCATGGATAAATCGGTTAGCCATTCATCCTCTTGCCCTATGATGTTGGTCGAATAATTTCTTGTAAAATTTAATAGTAGAGAATATTCTCCATCAGAATCAAACATGGCAAAATAAAAATATTTACCAAGAGAAAAACCCCTACTCCGGAATAGACAGTTAAAACTTTGATTTGGCATTAATGCAAAGTTTAGAGCTTAATGAGGAATAGTGAAGAATGGGACCAGCATGGAGACAGAAGAATCAAGTATGGGCAACTTATTTTTCTCCGAAGAGATCACAAAAGTGATTGGTCATTGCTAAGTTGGTCCTATTCCATGCTTCAAACTTCTTTGCTTCTTCTTTAAGAATTTCCAGAGGCGATCTTATTAGTCATATACTATAGTAGGATATATAGTTTCAAATTATTTTCATTCCTTAACGTAACGTGGCTCTCTTGGTACCAAAAAAGGCATGTTTACATAAAAAAAAAAACGAAAAAGGGTCAAATATATATGCCCTTGAACTATTGAAAATAGAGTAATTATGCCATCTGTTTGCATTTGGGTACAAAATTGCCCTTGCCGTTAATAAAGTGGTTCACTTTTGCCCTTTCCACTAACAGACTCCACATCAAGGACAATTTTGTACCCAAATATAAATGGAGGGTATAATTGCTCTATTTTTAATAGTTCAGGGGCATATTTGACTCTTTTTTCGTATAAAATAATACTTTTTTGTTGAGTTGAAAAGGTCTAAATATGCCACTAAACTATTAAAAATAGAGCAATTATGCCCTCCGTTTGCATTTGGGTACAAAAGGAGGGCACACTTTTGTACCCAAATACTCGTTTCAGAGAAATATAAAAGTGAAATTTGTGATAGTAACTTATGGATGTACCGATATGCGGTTGCAAATTAAAATAGGAAGACGAAACGAAAAAAAATTCACCATTAATTACTTGGTACTCTAATAATAAGATTTTGCATTAAGAATTGATATTACAATGTAAAAGGTCATTTTATTACGGATACATCAATGATGAACAATGGCACTGTTTCCTTTGAGCAGATCCAGATTCGAGTCCTTCTAAAGGGGTATTGTTTGGTTATCTTAAATGTTAGGACTTAGGAGTTCAAAGAATATAAAAATCAAATCACACGAATTTGATCCAGTAAGAAAATAATAAGTAAAAAAAGTGAAGCACGAGGTTGTGATCAGCTGGCCAGAGGAATTTTCCGGTGAGATTTCTCGTCATTGTAGTAATTACTACGTAAAAAATATGGCAAGACATTCATTTCCCTCTCTCTTTTATTTTTTCAAAAAAGACTTTTTCTCCGACATGGACCAGGTGCTTATTAGTTGAAAGTTGAAACATCCCATGGGTTTATCAGATCTCAATGTTCATATATCCGATACAACATCACTTTCTATAGCATTAGTAATTAATTAATCTGCCATAATTGCAGCGATGGGAACTACGTACGAAGCGTCATTTTCTCTAGGCAGCTGAAGATCCTCCCCAATCTTATACTCTTATTTAGAAGAGAGAAAAAGAGGTGTTTGCATAGAGGGACTCACAGCTAATAACTAGTGATAAAATAATCGGACACCAAATTCTGCTGCCCCACAAACCTTTGAAGGGTTACGCCTTATCTTAATACCTTTCTACTTTTGAAAAACCGACAGAAATGCCCTTAACGTATTAGAAATGGCTCAAAAATGTCCTCCTTCCACCTATGGGTTCAAATTTACCCTTAATGTTATTTTTAGACTTAAAAATGCCCCTCTCTTAACGGAAAAATGGCATGACATTGATGGGCATTTTAACATTAAGGGCAAATTTGAACTCATAGGTAGAAGGAGGACATTTTTGAGCAATTTCTAATACGTTAAGGGCATTTCTGACCCTTTTCCGTTTTAATTAAACATGTAATATTTATTTAGTCTGGAAAAAAGTAATTTTTTTTTACTAAAAACTGAAAAAAATGAAAATATTTTTTTTTCCAGTTTTTACAAAAAAACTGCTTTAAAAAAGTTGAAAAATATTTTCTAAAATAATATTTTTGTAAAAACTGGAAAAAAAATGAAAAGCAATTTTCTAAAGCAATATTTTTGTAAAAGCTGAAAAAAATATTTCCTCTTCTTCTTCCTTCCTTGTTTGTCCATATGCTTTCTCAGTTCATTTTTTATATATTTTAGTTCTTCTAACGGGTCAATATATCAAAACTGAAATATTTTCGTTTTTTCAGTTTTTAGTAAAAAAAAATAATTCATTAGTCTCGAAAAATGTAACATTTATTTAGTTAAACATGTAGCATTTATTTAAGAATAGATTGGCTTTCCGAGTTCTGGAAAAATGGTATTTTAATTAAACATGTAGCATTTATTTAGTCTAGAAAAAAGTAATTTTTTTTTACTAGAAACTGAAAAAATAAAAATATTTCAGTTTTGATGTACTAACTCATTAGAAGAACTAAAATATATAAAAAAATGAACTCAGAAAGTATATGGACAAACAAGGAAGGAAGAAGAGGAAATGTGTTTTTCCGCTTTTACAAAAACATTGCTTTAGAAAATTGCTTTTTATTTTTTTTTTTCAATTTTTACAAAAATATTGTTTTAGAAAATATTTTTCAGCTTTTTCAAAGCAGTTTTTTTGTAAAAACTGAAAAAAAAATATTTTTATTTTTTTTCAGTTTTTAGTAAAAAAAATTCACTTTTTTCTAGACTAAATAAATGCTAAATGTTTAATTAAAACGAAAAAGGGTCAGAAATGCCCTTAACGTATTAGAAATGACTCAAAAATGCCCTCCTTCCACCTATGGGTTCAAATTTGCCCTTAATGTTAAAATGCCCATCAATGCTATGTTATCTTTCCGTTAAGAGAGGGGCATTTTTAAGCCTAAAAATAACATTAAGGGTAAATTTGAACCCATAGGTGGAATGAGGGCATTTTTGAGCCATTTCTAATACGTTAAGGGCATTTCCGACCCTTTTCCGTTTTAGTTTCTACCATGAAAAACACAGGTTATAATTTGTATGCAAAAGATTCGACATCTGAATACTAAAGTATTAATGTAGCAAAACACCCCTGAAAGAATATTACTCAGAGACAAAGATGAAGAACATAATTAGTAGAATTGGAAGCTCGATCAGGAAAAAAAAAGTGATTTAGGGGTGTTTTTTATATAAAAACGTAAGACATAATGATGTGAGCTTGTTAGTGTAGTTATAATTAAAAGTCATAATTGGAAGGTTTCAGTCTGTGACCCTCTCTTAATACCACTAGCTAGGGTATGGACTCAATTGTTGCATCTCAGACTGCCCTTGGAAAATAATTATGGTACTTCCATGCGTTGTTTAGCCAGATTTAAAATTCTTTTATCCCCAACAATTCTTGCCCTTTCTACTATGTCATAACTAGAAACAAGTACACAATTAAATTCAGTAAAATATTATGGTAAATTGTATTCAACATATGGCATAATAAACTGTTCTTTCACTCAGGATGAACCTCCTAAAAAAAAAAGATATAGGGCAGGATATATAAAAATTACATTGCCGGCAAATAATAATTACATATGTTAGTCAAATATATAAAAAAATCTATACGATATATATAATATATATATATATATATATATATATATATATATATATATATATGTGTGTGTGTGTGTGTGTGTGTGTGTGTGTGTGTGTGTGTGTAAAATTTGTATATTTATAAATTAATATACAAAAATATATATTTTATCGGTTATTATTTTTGAGAGCGGCTATACAATATGGTATTCCCAAAGATAATTCCCTTTTTGTATTGAAGAATTAACCCAAATAGCTGCCCACCCAACCACGTAAACTAAAAATAGCCGGTGAAGGAATAATATATGCATAATTTATGTGTTATATGTGTATAATTGTATATAACCAATGTATAATCTATATATATATATGGCTAGAAAAATTAAATAATGAATATGACTGGCTATTTGTGTAAAGATCCCTTTGTATTCGGCATAGTAGATGGTCCAAACCAATGGGCCAGAGAACTTGGCCCAGATCTATGAACTGACCTGGGCCTTGTTTTTTCCACCAGTGGGTGAGGAATTCTGCGTCTTGCTGTTGCAACTTGGAAACTGATGATTGCCCCTTTAATTCCCGCTGAAATTCAAAACGAAGCCTGAGAATTGGGAAATCTCTCAAACTCCGTAACAAGGCTTCAAAATGCTTCATCGTACCAAAACTCTCTCCGAAAATATTTCCAAACTAAACCTTAGCCAACATTTTCTCCGTCAACATTGTCGTACGAAGTCGACTCGCCGTTTCAACAACGCCAAAGATGAAGATGAAGATTATCACAGAGTTCGAAGAAAAACTGAAAATCAAGAAGCACAAATTTATTTGCTGAAAAGCAGAGGTCAACATCTGCTCATGAATCCCCGAGTTCTTAACTCCATTGTCCAAAAATCCAACATACTTCCTACTGATACTGTTCTAGAAATTGGACCCGGCACCGGAAATCTCACCCTGAAACTTCTAGAAGTTGCCGAAAAGGTTATAGCCATTGAAATTGACAAACGTATGGTAGAGATTCTTCACAAGCGTGTCTCTGAGCGAGGGCTTCAGGACCGCTTAACTGTAAGTTTATATGCTTACAAGGTGTTCGACGAAATGCCTTAGGACTCTTTGAATAAAATTATCTATTTATAAATTCTGCACTGTTAATGTAATGTGTGGTTTCCTGTTAAGGGTCCGCATAACTAACACCGACTAACATATAGGAATCCAAGTATCATTTCATATGGGATATAATGTGAAATAAGACTAGGTGTATTAGTAATACCAGTGTTAAGCTAATTCTTGATTTTGGTATGGCCACTCTGCATATTATATTGTTAGTACAATTTATGTAGTATGATTACACTGTATAACAGCCTTATATTATAGTCCTTGTATAACTCATCACTTAACCGGACAACTGCTTAGTGAAGTTGGGTTGACATGTCTAGGACTTCATATAAGTTCAATTGAGTAGTTGTCATTTGGGTTTTGCAGGTTTTTTGTCAAGATGCTTTAAGGACTGAGTTTCCAAAGTTTGATCTTATGGTAGCCAACATCCCTTATGGAATATCCTCCCCTCTGGTCGCTAAATTGGTTTTTGGGAAGAACTCATATAGGGGTGGGACATTACTGCTGCAGAAAGAGTTTGCAAGGAGGCTATTGGCAAATCCAGGGGATTCGGAGTTTAATAGATTAGCTGTGAACGTGAGGCTGGTGGCTGATGTAGAGTTTGTCATGAATGTGAGCAAGAAGGACTTTTTGCCATGTCCTAAAGTTGATTCTTCTGTTGTGAAGATACATCCTAAAGCTGAAATCCCAGAGGTTGACTATGAAGAATGGTGTGCGTTTACAAGAACTTGCTTCACCAAGAAAAATAAAACATTGGGTGCGATCTTTAAGCAGAAAAGAATGTTGCTGGAGTTAATGAAGCTGCAAGAAATCAAAGGGGATGAAGTGAATAACACAATTTACAGTGATTATCATGTTAATGATACAGAAGATGAAGATGGGTTGAGCAATGAAGATAATGCTAATTTCTCTTCTGATGTCGGAATGGACCTGAACTTGTTTAGAGAGAAAGTCATTGACATTCTACGATCTGGTGGATTCGAAGATAAGAGGCCTTCAAAGCTCTCCCATGAGGAGCTACTGAACTTACTTTCTTTATTCAATCGAGCTAGGTTGCACTTTCACGGTCAAGTAAAACCAACAAATAGAAAGGATGCAGAACTTGCTTCTGCATTTGGTCCATTATAATGCCTAAATACTCACGATCCATGCTGTATTGTCTTTGACCTCATTTAAGTAAATGGCTATTTAATCAAATTTGTTGATCAAGCCATAGCTGCAGATGATCAAATCTTTTACAAGAATTTTGCAGAAGAATTTTGTGCTCAAACAGGTCATATTTTAGAAGGTGATAGGATTGATCTGTTCTTCTAAGTCATTTCATGCACTGTATTCTAGGCAGAAACTTTATGTCTCCTGGATTAAATTCGACGGTGGAATGTCAATGGACCTCATAAGATGCTGTTGTTTTTGAATTATCATTACCATTTAGCAAATGGATGGATTCGATTGGAGCCCATAAGAGTGGTCCATTACGCCAAATGGGCTTCGAAGCCTTGAGACAATTGTCCGACCTGATTCTGAAACACTTCTTTCAGGGATGAGAGTATCTGGTTGTTCGGCTGGTATTTGGCACCCTTCATCCTGACCTATCATGAATTTCTCTCTTCAATTGCTTACAGCTTGACTGACAGTTGGTAACTGAAAGGGGATGGGCCAGCAACAAGCCTCGCCTGAAAAGAACCTGCTCGAGACCCCCAGGTTTAGTTTCATTTTGTTGTTATTCTACTCATGCTGGAATACTGGGTTTTGGTTGTCCTATTTAACTGTTTTCTTCTTTTCTTGTTTGGCTAAATTCTGAATAATATTTCATTCGAGTTTCCTGATCATCAGAATATTTTATGCTGTCTCTTTGATTTTACCAAAGCCCTGTTGGATGTAATGTGGAGTTAATATAGCTTAAATATTGATCAAAAGAAAAATCGTCCATCTTCAGTTTTGCAATTGCCTTTTCCTTTCAGGAATAGAATTCATTTTTTGTAAGTGATGATGGTTAATTTCAGGGTATTTTAGAATAGGCTATCCACGGCTTTGCTTTATACACCTTGCTTATTAGCTTTAATATGCTTTTCCAAGAGTTCATGTTGGAGATACTACAATTTAGTGTTTAATTTAAAGAGCAGAGTGCAAGAAGGTTGCAGTGGCAGGGGAAAGTGCATGAGCTGAAAGACTGGTGGTGAGCTGCAAAAGCAAGAGAGAGAAGAAGGCGGTCATGGCTTGACATATTGTCGTTATGATCTCCCATGAATTGATATATTATGCCCTTAGATAAAGTGAACCTTGAAGGGAACTGGAACATCCTTTGACCTCTTTAAAGTGTACTGGTGTAGGATATGTTGAAATCCTTAGCTTTTTTGGATCTGCATACTACTATAATAGCATGAATATTTCAGTAACTATACCCCTCCACCCACCTCCAAGGATTTTTCCCGCTACAATAGTTGACTTCAGTGAAATTGCAGGTTATTTCGGAATTTTCAGGCAGAGATAACTCCCTGCCCCAGTTGGGCAGCATTTTGGTATTGCCACCTCTTATTATTGCGCATGTGCTCTCATATGGACTTTGTGGGTTTTCAATCTTGGCAAAGTACTCTGAGATATTAGGATGTCTATGGTGTAAGCAACCTGGACTGGTTCTCAAGTCAGAGATATCAAGAATCCAAAAATCTAAGCAAGGGATTACAACTTCCCCATCTCATTTGCGATTATAAAAAAAATCAACATCTCAATGGGACAACATTTTTTACTTTAGGTGGAAAAATGGTGGAATCGAGTCAACTGTAAGAGGATAGCAAACCTCTATTGGTTTCTACCCGTGGTTATTTTTCAGAGACTTTCTCCTGGTGGTTCTGCAAAAGGAAAAGCGCTACTGAACGGTGATTAGGACAGTGATCTGCACAAATGCAGGAAACAAATTACTCCTTCCGTTTCAATTTATGTGAACCTATTTCCTTTTTAGTCCGTGCTAAAAAGAATGACCTGTTTCCCTATTTGGAAATCATTTACCTTTATGCAATGATTTATAACCACACAAAATATATGTGTCTCCTTTTACACCACAAGTTCAAAAGTTTTCTCTCTTGTCTTAAACTCCGTGTCCAGTCAAATGGGTTCACATAAATTGAAACGAAGGGAGTACATAGATTACTATCCTAAAGCAGTAAACAATTATATAGGTCACTGACTTATCTGCATTTCCTCTAAATTTATCGAGGTTAAATCACAATTCTAAATTTCCAGCTTTACTGAGTAATTTTCTGTCAACGTAATTAGAGTTTTGGATATGTTATCATAAGTTGACTTGATTTGAAACTCTGTGGTGCCATTCAAGTGGCTATTTTCTGAGGTTTGTGTTTTTAGTTTGTATACGGGTAAAACCGAGCGCGCTGCATGACTCGATTTCCCGGCGAGCCAAGCGGAGCAGGAAGGTGACCGTAATGTANAACAGAAGATTTTTACCTTTTTTAGAATTGTACTTAGGGTAAAACTCTCCTACTATATAAAGGGAAAAACTTGTTATTCATAGGGGACATTGTAACACGTATATCAAGGCAATATATTATTATTCTCTTTGTTATTAAAAATTCTTACTTCAGTTCATCAGTTCTTCATTGGTGTGAGTCCGGGATCGAAGGCAGGCATTTCATTAAGCTGTTACTGAGTCCGGGGTCACTCTCCTTATCGGTTTGACAACTTGTTACGTCTTCTACCTGTTTAATCTAACGCCATTTATTATTTGTATTGAATTAATCCGCATATCCTTAAAACCATATATAAATTCAATTCTTATTCATTTTTAGGGTAAATAGTTTGGCGCCCACCGTGGGGCTAAGGATAATAGTGGCAATTTGATAAAACTTTCCATAACGCACTCTATTTTACACTTGTTCTTTGAGCTTCTAATTTCAGGTCAAATTAAAAATGTCAAACTCCCAATCTGCCCATTTGAACGTGGATGCTGAGTCTGGCCGCCATGGCGAGAACAACAATGTGGTGTCCAACAACGAGGTGCCCCCTTTTGACACCAACAGAGTTCCAGTCGCGGATCCGATCGATGCTAACTCACATGTGGCTATCGAAGCAAACTTTCCTACCGACCCCGAAAACAACATTCGCGGGGGAGCTCGATCGGTAGCCTAGAGTACACACGACGACGAAGGTGATGGGATCAACTTGCAGATGATCTTTGAAATGTTACAGGTTCAACATGCAGCAATACCCAGTTGCAGAACCAAAGCCTAGCCCCTAGCAGAGTTGAGCCCAAACCATTCCAGGAAAACACTTGCAGAAATAAACCGGCCAAAGAAAGGCCGGGTGAAGCTGAACCCGGGACTAACCCCGAGATAATAAAGATGCTCGAGGAACTGATAAAATGGGTGGAATCAAGAGAAAAGAAAATCGAAGTCAACGACAAAAAAATGGAGACCTATAACTCCAGAGTCGATCAAATCCAGGAGCACCACCGATATTGAAGGGCCTAGATTCCAAGAAATTTGTCCAAAATCCTTTCCCTCCGAGCGCAGCTCTGAAGCCGATCCCAAAGAAGTTTCGTATGCCCGAAATTCTGAAGTATAATGGAACAACCGATCCAAATGAACATGTGACCTCCTACACGTGCGCCATCAAGGGGAACGACTTGGAAGATGACGAAATCGAATCCGTTTTGCTGAAAAAGTTCGGAGAGACCTTGTCAAAAGGAGCTATGATACGGTATCACAAGTTACCCCTAATTCTATTGACTCGTTTGCTATACTTGCAGATGCCTTTGTAAAGGTGCACGCTGGGGCCATCAAGATCGAGACCAAGAAGTCAGACATTTTCAAAGTAAAGCAATGAGATAAGGAGATGCTCGGGGAATTCGTGTTGAGGTTTCAAATGGAACAGATGGATCTGCCCCCAGTCGCGGACGATTGGGTTGTTCAGGCATTCACCCAAGGACTTAACCTCCTAAGATCATTGGCTTCGCAACAGTTGAAACAAAATTTGATAGAATACCCGGCGGTAACTTGGGCCGACGTCCATAACAGGTACCAATAAAAAATCAGGGTCATAGATGATCAACTCGGGGCACCCTCTGGGTCCGTGTATCCCATTAGAACTAATGACAGGTCTGAAAGAGCCGTCGATCACGAACCAAGACCGAGCAGAGATCGGTACCAACTGTATAGCGGAGATTGAAAGGGCAGTAGATCCGGACGTAACCTAGCAAGGAATGAAAAAAGAAGCGATCGAGGTCATAATAATCGGCGACTCATGAGCAAAAACGGTTTCGATAGACCAAACAGGTCTAGGGAGGCACTGAGGTTATCAGAGTACAACTTTAGCGTCGATGTTGTCGGTATCGTGTCAGCCATCGGACGCATCAAAGATACTAAGTGGCATCGACCATTGTAGTCTGATCCTGCCCAAAGGAACCCCAACCTAATGTGTAAGTATCATGGCATTCACGGCCATAGAACCGAAGACTGCCGACAACTTAGAGAAGAAGTAGCCCGGTTATTCAATAACGGACACCTCCGAGAATTTCTGAGTTACAGAACAAAAAATCACTTCAGGAATAGGGACTCCAACAAGCAGACCGAGCAAGAGGAACCTCAGTACGTCATTAATATGATCATTGGTGGATTTGACGTCCCCCAAGGGCCGATGCTAAAGCGCACTAAGGTATCTATTACAAGCGCACTAAGGTATCATTGGTGGAGTTGACGTCCCCCAGAGGGAACCGTATCTTTCAACGACGAGGACGCTGAAGGCATCGTGCAACCACATAATGATGCACTGGTAATATCTGTACTCATAAATAAATCTCGAGTTAAGCGTGTGTTAATTGATCCAGGTAGCTCGGCCAATATCATCAGATCGAGGGTCGTGGAACAGCTGGGTCTACAAGACCAAATAGTGTCTGTAGTCCGAGTTTTAAACGGATTTAACATGGCATGCGAAACTACTAAAGGGGAGATAACCCTGTCGATAAACACCGCCGGAACCATTTAGGAAACAAAGTTCTATGTAATCGAAGGAGATATGAGATACAATGCTCTATTCAAAAGGCGATGGATTCACAACATGAGGGCAGTACCCTCGACACTACACCAGGCATTAAACTTGCCCACACCGGGAGGGATCAAGACAGTTTACGGAGAACAACCGGCCGCAAAAGAAATGTTCGCGGTCGATGAGGTGACCCCGATATCCACACTCTCGACATCAAAGGACCCGAGTTCGTTTGCGAGGGAAGAAACCAAACAACAATCACCGACACCGACCCCGACCGAACCAGAGAAGCAGGAGACATGCGAGGATGATGATTACGGAGTCCCTAGGTCGTTCATAGCCCCTGACGATTCCGATGCCACCAAGTCAACAGATAGCTGGAGCAAGTCATATTGATTGAGCACTTGCCCGATCGGAAGTATACCTGGCAAGGGGCTAACTCCCGAGCTCAGGAAAAAACTTATTGAATTCCCTATAGCTAACCTAGATTGTTTCGCTTGGTCCCATCTTGATATGACAGGGATCCCGCCAGAAATAACTACTCACAAGCTGAGCTTGGACCCGAAGTTCCACCCGGTTAAACAGAAGAGGAGGCCTCAGTCCGAAGTCAAGCACGCATTCATCAAAGACGAGTTATCCAAACTCCTTAAAATAGGTGGCCATTCGGGAAGTTAAGTACTCGGATTGGTTAACAAACATAGTAGTAGTGCCTAAAAAGGACTCTTTTCCTTTGTCTAACATCGATCACATGATCGATGCGATGGCCAGCCACAAGATACTCAACTTTCACCGAAGACGTCCTTCCTGTGGTTCGGAAGGACTGCGGCTGGGCGGATAAGGACGTTGTTGTCCCCGGTCCCGAGGATGCCATTACTATACCCATGTAGAGGGGTATATAAGTGTTTACACTTATCCCTTCACATTGGGCCCGGTGGACCCGGTTATCCTGGACTTCTGCAAGAGGTATGAAGTATGCCTTGGTCAGATCCACCCGTCGTTGTGGAGGATCGTAATCCTTCTTCGATACTTCGTGAACAAGACCGAATCCCGTCGGTTCACCATCGATCACCTTCTCCGCCTATACAGCCCCTGAATCTTCCGAGGGGACTGATAAAGCTCACACGCCGGGCTAGCAAAGCCCCATTCTCGAGCATCGATGAGGATCAGGATCGGGGCTGGTAGGGACGTTTTATCCGGGTAAGGACCGCAGTGTCACGACCCAAATCCGGTAAAGGTCGTGATGGCGCCGGACACCACTGTCATGCAAGCTAACACTAAATAGTTAATTAAATTCTCATTTTAATATTTTTGAAATCGTAAATTTACTTCAATTTATCTAGTAAAAGATGAACTTACAGAATAAATAACAATGTTTTTCAATTTCAATACTGAACATCCCATAATCATCACAGAACCCGGTGTCACAAGTGCATGAGCCTTTTCTAGAAATTTTAAAATAAAATACAATAACTGTTCGGAATACAAATTTGGACAGGAAAGAAAATACAATACTTTGAAGGAGACTCTGCTGGCTACGGTGTGTCGTATAGAATGCAGCTCACCTAAGTCCCCGCTATAATCGCGCCTCTGCGCCTACAAGGCCGCTAAACATATGTGTACCTACACAAAAATTTGCAGCAAGTGTAGTATGAGTACGTAATTCAACGCGTACCTAGTAAGTATCCCGTCTAACCCCGAAGAAGTAGTGACGAGGGGTCGACTTCGACACTTACTATGGGCTATAAATAGGATATCAATGATATAATTAAGTATGGATTGTATGAACGGTTGCAAGCTCAATATTTTAAAGTAAGTAAGGAGTTCTTTTATAATTAAGAAATCTCCAAAATTACCTCTCATTATTTAACAATTTAACTCAGGCCGAGGAGGAAATATCATTATTTATAAATTTCAAGGCAAGCAATACAAGCATGCGCAAATCATGCCGAGGTTGTACGGCCCGATCCAACAAATATTTAAACTGTGCACTGCCAGAGAGTCGAATGACGCGAACCATAGATGCATCTATTTAATCTATCGAGACGTTCGGCCCGTTCCACAAAAGATAACACATTCAA